TTAAAACAAAGGTTGGTTTTGGAGGGAGGGACCAAGCAAGGTGAGGATTCGCAGTTGTGGACTATGTCCTTTGCAGGCTGCTGGTTGAGATAAGCTGGCATCATGTGAGCAGCTGATGCTCATGTGAGGCATAAAAGAAGGGCTGGGGACCCAGATAGTGGTTTTTACTTGTGATTCCCAAACTTTCTGGAGACACCAGCCTGCCTTTAGTTTTGTCTTAAAACCAGGTACTTCTCGGTTGTTAAAGGTTCCATAGTTGTAGCTTACTATGAAAACCCTTACTAATAAAACCTGCATTTCTGAATTCCTCACAAGATCTAATTTTCAGGGAGGCATAGAACTGCAGTAAATACAGAGGTGCAACTCAATTGCCTCTTCTCCCTAACCATGTTTCTTTGTTTCATCCAGTTTCTCAGTGTCTCTTAGGAGTCTGAAGCACTTTGATTGTGAAGAAAAGCAGGACCTCATAGTAAGTACTACCAGTAACATGGAACTGCAAGTCTGTGCATGCTTTGGAAAATACAAAGTGGTATCACAGTGTGTAACTGCCCCTGTGAGAGGAGTTTGGTGCAGCTGGCTGCTCTGTGGCTGTTCACTCTTCTGTCCCCTCTTGCTGTATTCAATGATGTAATTAAATGTAATTCTCCACAAGATGGAGACTAAGGCAGGAAGGGGATCCCCTGACACCCTTTTCCATCTCAGTGGGGCTGCTGTGCAGAATACCTGTGGAAGGCAGGCAGTTGCTTGGGACTCTTTTCACTTGCGGGTTTCCCGCGTACCACAAAGCCACTCACGCTGGGTGACAAAGCACTGGCAGAAGTTGAATTTCAGGAGAATGCAGAAACTGCAAGTAAACTTTGATTCATTATCATTAGCCATTTCTGTTACCTGGTTAGTGTCCTAGACTAAAAGCTTCAGTAGGCTACTTTTAGGACTGTAAAGAACTCTTGTTTTACAGGAACGAGCCAAAGAAGATTATCGCCAGGAGATTGAGTGGTGTATTCGACTGATTTCTGACTATCGAATTAGAGTAGGTAAGGAGATGTCATTCATTCTGATATACATCAGAAAATAGGTAACACCAAAACTGTCAGCTTTGTTTCCCAGGCTTAACTGAACTGATAAATAACTCTGGTTTGGGCTTTTTAGGTTGTCATTCTTTTACGGGATCCTTCTTGGAATATTTTGCTGATGATATCAGTAAGTGAACCCATTATTTTTTGTAGTATTCTCTTGGGAGGCAAGTTTAGCTCTAGTGTCTACATATGTGTTGAGTGAGGCTTCAGACCCAGTGAGGGAGTGCCAGTAAAATTCTCATGCCATTATTGCACTTTAAGGGTTATCAGAACCGCAACAGAAGTTAAATATTGAGACAATTGGGGAAACCACTTATTTCACCTTGTGGAGAGTTAATTTTAGGGCTCCTGTCAGAGCTTCAGCTCCCTCATTTTTCTTAAGGCAAAATCTTAATTTTCTTTTTTGTGGTGTTTTTTTTACCTTCTTTGTAAGGGAGGAAAAAAACCACAACACTTCATCAAGCAAGTCCCTTATGTTCAATTTGGGTATGTGAGCATGTATGCATACGCAAATGCTTTGTGTATTTAAGTATGAATGACTGTGGCTTTCCTTTCAGGCTACCCAGTTAGAAAGGAAGGTTATCAAGGTTTAGTCCAAGTCACCTTTCCAGATGTGGCAGAGGAAGATACTGAAGAGTCTTTATCAGAAACATCACTTCAGAAACCCTCCAGGAAACTTCTTCCTGACAGGACAAGAGCTGCTAGAGATAAAGCAAATAAGAAGATAGTGGAGTTTATAGTGAAGACTAAGGGGGCTGAAGAGCATCTTTTGGCTATTTTGAAAAGCAGAAAGCAATCCCGGTGGCTGAAGGGATTCCTGAATTCGAGACAGTATGTGACCTGTGTTGAAACCTATTTGGAGGATGAAGAGCAACTGGACCTTGTAGTGAACTACTTGAAGGAAGTGTATCACGAAATAGAGGCTAAACATCTGCATCACATAAATGGAGATGGAATAAAATTTATTTCGGATGTCCTTTTGCCTGAAGTAAGTAAACAAGAAACTCTGAGAAACTACACCTTAAAGGAAGGAAATGACTTTAGTGTCTTGTGATTTGAGTTCAGTGACTTGCAGTGTTCCTTGCAAGCTGAGTGGTGATTGAGCTGAGCAGGTATGTTCACACCTGCATGGTCCCTGCAGCTCGAGGGGCATGAAGCTGCTTAGTTTCTCTCTATAGCTTGGGCAAAGACTATTCAACTCTGCATAATCCTAAATTATGTTTGTGGCTTGTTAAGCTGTCAGCACAAAATGGAGAATTTTTAGGTAGTGCAGTGTTTTTTAAAGGCAGAATTGTTGCTTTCAAGTCTATTTGATTCTTTCTGAAACTCTTAAAGTCTTTCGGTTTGAGGTGGTTTTTATTGATTTGGCAAGTTATCGCTGGGGTTTCTTGGGTTCTTTGTGCTTGGGAGGTGCTGGGTTGGTTTTTACAGTTACACTTTTAGATATTTAGTGTCCTTCCTAGGAATTTTCCCAGCACAACATTAGTAACCTCTGTAGAAACAAAATTACTGTGATGAGTATCATAATCTGGTTTTAAAATACTCTCCTGGGAAAGACAAAGGCTAAGTTTATGTTATTTATAAGTTTCAGGTTTTATCCAACTTTCCTAAGTGATTGATTTTAGAATAAGGTTCCTCATTGACTGAGACAGTTCATTTATACTCGTGGAATAAAAGCTAAGTTACAAACAGTGATTTGGAACCACTTACTTTTCTAGGCCATCATTTATGCCATTTCTGCTGTGGATGATATAGATTACAAGAAGGCAGAAGAGAAGTACATCAAAGGACCATCTGTGAGCAAGAGGTATCTTTTAGTATGCTCTGAATTTTTGTTACTACTTTGCTGTTTATATGGAGAACAGCATAAGGGCAGGAGAGTCCAGGATCCTCCCTCCTGTATGGCAATTTTCTTTCCTTGTCTTAAGTAACAAAATGATTATACACGGAAATGTTCTTGCTGTGTTACAGTAACACCCTGCAAACAGTTTCATATGGTGAGGTTATTTTTACTACAGAGCTTTCTGTTTCTTTTCAGGGAGAGAGAAATCTTTGACGAAGAAATCCTAGAAAGAAAGAAGTGGAAGACCAAACCAGCACTTGCAGACGGGGTCTGAACAGCAGCACAACCTTTCCCCAGCTCCCCTGGCACTGAGTGTATGTCATGAAGTGCTTATTTGTATAAAAAGTGTAATTCTTACTCTTCAAAACCTGTTTGTGTATCTCTGAAAGAGGTAGTCATTGTGCTGCTCTCGGATGCAGTCCTGTCTTCAGTCCTTGCTCCCCATTCTGTGCCCTGGAGCTGTTCTTGCTGTGTTGAACTGACTGTGAAAGACAATGCAACAGGCCTTGGGGGTACTGTGGGTGTGTGGCTGCCTCAATCCTCATCCATTCAGCATCCTTAACACGGAGCTGCAGGTGCTTTGCAGAGCTTCTTGATAGAATGCTGAGTTTTGTAGGAGTTACTTTGGCCAAATAGCTGACAACGGGAGGGCTGTTGTCTTTGATGAGCACAGACTGGTGGAGGATATAGCCATGTGTTGCTGGGTGACTTTACCACTACTGAATGTCTGCGGGTTTCCTGTATAAAAACATTCCCACCGGATTGACTGTTCCTGCTTTACGTGTCTCGAAGTGTGGGGAAATAAAATCGGTAGCTAGTGATGCAAGCAGAATAACGAAGGCTTTGTTTTTATTGATGGGATAGCTGTAAAATCCAGTGGGAAAGGAATCCAGTGTTTGCTTAAAAGAACAAACCCCATTCACTTTTCCATGTGAAAGTGAAGCTGTTTTGAATGCTGGTTCAGTGCTTTTTTGAGGCCATAATTTTAGGAGGAGTTATTTGTCTTTATCTGATTTAAATACAAATTCCATCCTGTAGGTCCAGCTTTTTGCAGGAGGTCTGGCACATTGCAAATTGCCTTTGACTTGCAGTGTTATCGACAGCCACTTAATGATAAAACCCCTGTGACTCATTTGTTATCTTAGGATGAAAACATGATCTGGTTCTTCAAGAGAAACCAAGATAAGTTGAAATTCAGAAGTTTAAATGTAAATTGAGATACAGATGTGTATTCTGGCTATAGTTACTATCTTTAACATATATTTTAATTATACTTTTAATTACTTTATAATGTGTTTTAATATGCATTTGGGATCCTTATGTTATCAAAGCACCATTAACGAGTACCTAAACTATAGGGACTTGGCTCTCAGTTTATCCTCAGGTTCCCTCTCCTTCAAAACATGATCCTGTGTGCACTTCCCAGTTGAAATTCCTAAAGTACTGCTAAGTTCTTTCTCCAGTCCCTGGTATGGCAGCAGAGCTCCCCATCCACCTTGCCTTCATCTCAACCCTTTTCACACCTTTCACTATCCCAGTTTGATTCAATGTGGACAAGTTCTTTCAAAAGTCAAACTGTGCTGTGCCAAAGGCTGATGAAGAGTGTGAATGTGATTTGGAGCACTCTCAGCTGTTTGTATCTTTAAAAACCACCTTCAAAATGGGTGTTACAGGTTCCTTACAGGGCTGTTTGCACCTCAGGCCCAAACTCAGTCCTCAGTTGTACAGGACTGTGTTGTTCAATCAATTAAAGGTTGATGAAGTGAATCGTTAAAGGCTTGTTCCTCTTGTGTGCTTCAGTTCTGCCAAGCAGGATGCTGCTGCTGTGCTTGCCTGGCCAGGTGCTTCCACCTGTTTCACACTACATGATGATTATTTTTGTGTATTGGATAAAGCTGCACTATTGTGCTGCAAGTGCCAGTTTCATGTTAAATGCATTGGGGTGAGTACAAGAAAGCAAATGTGCTGTTGTCTGGTCCTGTGCTTTATTGGAAGTTCTCCCCTCTGCCGAGACAAAGCTGCTTCTTGAACTCGTCCTGTTTAACTAAAAGCAGCTTCCTTTGCTCCCTACCGAGATAAAAATGACTTGGGGCCGGGTTTTGATGCCTTCTCCGGCGCTGGCTGTAGGGGCGTTTTGCAGCCGGATACCCGGCAGGAAAAGAAGCGGTTGCCGAAACCCGGGATCGAACCAGGGACCTTTAGATCTTCAGTCTAACGCTCTCCCAACTGAGCTATTTCGGCTGCGCGGAACCGCTCCCCCCGCCCCTCCCGTCACCGCCGGCGGGGCCCCGGGACACCGGAGCCTCGGGGCCTCGGTGCCACAGCCGCGGGCGCGGCAGCGGCGGCGGCAGCGCGGTCTCTGTGGCGCAATCGGTTAGCGCGTTCGGCTGTTAACCGAAAGGTTGGTGGTTCGAGCCCACCCAGGGACGGTCGTTCCCTTTTCCCTCCGCGGCCCAGCGGCGCCGGTCGAGCCCGAGGTCCTCCCGCTTCGTTTTACCGAGGCCCGCGGAACTCCCCGCGCAGCCCCGCGTTCCCCGCCGGCGCGCTGAGGCGGCGCACCGAGGGCCGCGCCGGGCCGCTTAGCGGGTGCACCGCGCCCAGAGGTTGCCTGAAGGGCTGCGGGCGAGATGGCGGCGCTGGGCTGTGAGCGGGGCCTCCGCGGAGGGACGGGGCTGAGGAGGGGGGGGACGGACCCGGGGAGCGGGCGGGGACCGGGCTCGGGCCGTTCCCTTCCCCGCGGTGCCGGTGTCCGGCCGGAGCTGAGCTCTCCCGTCCTCTCGTTGCAGGTCTTCGCCTCCCTCGGCGCGGCGCCCTGGCCTGGCGGTGAGGGCCGGGGCCGGGGAGGGTGAGGGGGGGGTTGAAGGCCGCCGGGGCCGCGTTGGGTGCTCGGGGGTTTCTGTTCGCCGAGCGCTTGTTTTCTCCCTGCCTGGGGCCGTTGTGCTCCGCCGTGCTCACACAGCGGGGGTTGTGCTTCTTTCCAGGCCCGCTGCCGTGGCGCCTGTTCGCAGCCGGCTGCTCCATCACACGCCGGTGGCTGACCAGGCTGACAGGTACCGCCGGGCCCGTCCTCCCTGGGGTGAGGGACCCCCAATGGAACAGGGTAGGAAACCTCCTGTCAGCGGGAGCTCTGTGCCTGACAATCCCCTCCTCGCTTCGCGTCTTGAACAGCCAGGCTGCTGTCAGCCTGGACGTGAGCCCACCAGGCCCCCTCTGTAATGTGGGTACAGCGAGCACAGGGGCTCTGAGCAATAACCACAGCGCTCCCCACGGTGAGGGGAGCATCCCTCGCCCTGCTCTAACACAGTCTGCAGTGGGTGTGAGATTGTCCATAAGTGATGTGCTATGGGTTCTTCATGGGATCACCACTCCTCGGGGCTGATGGGTGTATGCAGTTACACCGACTAACCGGAGCCTGACACTCCTGTGCTCTTTGTCTTCAGCTCTGTCCAAGTCCAGCAAAAGAGCTCAGCCATCGTGCAGAAGAAGTCCTACGTCCCCAGCAGCAGGGGTGAATACATTGTCACCAAGCTCGATGACCTGGTCAACTGGGCAAGAAGGGTGAGTGTCCGAAACTGTCGTGCTCGCTAGGGAGCAGTGGTATTGAATGCTTGGAGGTGCTGGTGCGAAATGGGGTTGAGCCATCTCAGGATAAAAATAGGTTCAGAATTCTCCAGTTTCTTGGCCCAGAGGTTGGTGTTTGAGTGCTGTGTCAGAGCGGGAGGGTGGTGCAGAGCAGTGCCTGTCTGAGCAGAGCTGACCTTCAGACAAGAGCAGAAGGTGCTTTCTGGTTTCCCATAATCCTTGCAACAAGTGGCTACTCTGTGCCATGGGGAAAGCTGAATCCAGGGTGCTCTGGCTTAGCTGAATTTTGCCTCCTGCAGTCACCGCTGCCCTTGTGCAGGGCCGCTGAGGTGGCTGCTGTAGCAGTGTGACACGTTAAGGGGAGCGTCTTCACCTCTGAGCACGTTCAGCATCCCTGAGGCTCCAAACACTCAGATCTCTACGCATCTGTTCCCCTGAAGCAGGGGGTTTTGCTCTCCTGCAGAACAGCAAACACTTTTCACTGAGCACACCTTGAACCTTCTCTTCTGTTCCCTTCTCTGATCACCTCTTGCCCTTTGAGTCACCCGTTGCAAGGGCTCGGCTCTCTCCACACCCTGCCTCTTGTGCTGCAGAGCTCCCTGTGGCCGATGACGTTTGGCCTGGCGTGCTGCGCCGTGGAGATGATGCACATGGCAGCTCCTCGCTACGACATGGACCGCTTCGGGGTGGTGTTCCGAGCCAGTCCCCGGCAAGCCGATGTCATGATCGTGGCTGGCACCCTCACCAACAAGATGGCCCCGGCTCTCCGCAAGGTACCGGGGCTGCGGCGGGCACCGCATGTGCTGGGAGGCAGCGGGGACTGAGCTGAGCTGTCTCTGTCCTGCAGGTCTACGACCAGATGCCAGAACCTCGCTACGTGGTCTCCATGGGGAGGTAAGTGCCAGGACATGCTTGGTGCCTCCTACTTGGTGGCAGAAATCTGCTCTCGCCTGCTTGAGCCAGGGAGATGAAGGGAGAAGAACCCATTTCTCATTTTCCTTGCCCCTGAAATTATATAAGGAGCCTTGTTACAAAGGAAACATAAAGGCTCCCTTTCATTAGGGTGAGGAGAATGATGTCTGTCAAATCACTGTGAACTGCAGAGTTTTCCCTGGGGTTTTGCAGCTCTCAGAGTCTGGGGACTTGCACGTGTCCAGAATATCAGACCTCGTGTTTAGATGAAACCTTTCAAATAGCTTCTGCAGCACAAGACAGAACCTCAGCTCCGTGCAGCCCTGGCACGGTGGAGCTGACAGCTTGTGTCTCCTGGGGCTGAGGGCAGTCAATTCACCAGGGCCTGGAGCGGAGAGAACAGCTCTAGAAATGCTCTGTGCAGATGTGGTGAAATCAAAAGGGGTTTGCAGGATGGAGGAATATCTGCTTTGTAGGAGTAATGAAACTGGTTTGGTTTGGTTGGGTTTGATTCATAGAATCACAGAGTGGTTTGGGTTGGAAAGGACCTCAAGATCACGCAGTTCCAACCCCCTGCCATGGGCAGGGATGCCTCACACTAAACCATGTCACCCAAGGCTCTGTCCAACCTGGCCTTGAACTCTGCCAGGGATGGAGCATTCACCCTTTCTTTGGGCGCCCTGTGCCAGCTCCTCAGCACCCTCACCGTAAAGAACCTCTTCCTTACATCCAACCTGAACTTCCCCTGTTTAAGTTTAAAATTCAGCTTGAACTGTAACAGCCTCTGCCAGCTGGGGCTTGTGAGGAGGCTGAACAGCCACGGTGTGAGCCTTGGCATCATGCTGTAAAACCTGGCGGGGATACTCCTTGCCTGTGGCACTCGGATGAGGCACCGGCCTCATGTTATCCTCTCCCTCCTGCTCCCCTTTGCCTCCTGTCTCCACTAAGCCATGTGTAACCAAGCTGAAACCTGCCCGTCTCTCGCAGCTGTGCCAATGGAGGGGGTTACTACCACTACTCCTACTCCGTGGTGAGGGGCTGCGACCGCATCGTGCCGGTGGACATCTACGTGCCAGGTAGGAAGGGTGGCTCCGCGTGCCATGGCCCCAGCTCGGAGCAGCACGGCAGGGAAGTTAATTTTGCCTGTTTGGACAGTGCTCAGTGGAGTTTCTCAAGATCTTTCTGTTTCAAAGTGGGGTGGTGAAGTTGCAGACGCTTCAGTAAGATCCAGTAAGCGAGTGGGGTGGTTCTGGTGATGCTGCTCACCAGTAAGCATTGTGTAAAGTGTGTGCTATAGTTTAATCGACCAAATATCACTTTATTGAGAAGTGCAGCATTTCTATGGTTTAAAAAGACCTTTCCAGAAAAACACTTCAGTTTCTTTAAACTACAGCAGGCCTCTTGCTTTTTCAAACCCCACAGCCAGTGGCAAAGGTAGGAGATGGAAGCTGCTTCCAGGCAAAGCTTGGGCTTTGTCACTTCTCCATCTGCTGGCTACACTTCAGTGCAGCAAGCAGCCCTGTGGCTTCCTTTTTGTCTCTCTCAGGTTGCCCACCTACAGCTGAAGCTTTGCTGTATGGAATCCTGCAGCTTCAGAAGAAAATCAAGCGGGAGAAGAAGATTCAGATCTGGTACAGGAAATAGCCTCTTATTTATGACCTCCCCTCTTGCTTGCCTTCATACGCACAATCGACCCGTGTCCTCACACGCCTTCTAATAAAAGTCTACCTGGTTAAGACACTCTTCTGTCATTAATGCATCCTTCCTGTCTGAAGTGTTCTAACTCATTTAAAAAACAGCTTAAAAAGCAGGAGTTGGATTTGGTAACATTCACTGTGGTGGTTTCGGATCTGAATGGCCCTGAAGGAGGATGTTTGAAGTTACCTATCGTGACATAAAGGCTTTGCCTGAAACCTGGGACTCGCTCTTTGGCTCTGTGGGGAAGTTTTTGAGACCAGCACAGGTCCAGGCCAACCCTGAGGCCTCCCTGAGCTCATCTCTTACTACCCACTTTTTGCTTATAATTCCTACAAAGAATCTGATAAATCCTTTATATCTGTGTGCACAGCAGCCAGAAAGCAATTCTATTTCTGTAATGCTAACTAAAATATTAATGCTAAAAATGTGACTACTAAAAACGAATGCTGCAGCACTCCTTGGCACAGGAGGAATGGAGCAGCCCCTGGTGGGTTTTGGTGCTGGATGTGGCCTGGGACAAGGAGCAACCACAGCAGAATTACACACACGCTTTTGAAAGACAAATAATTAGCTCTGAATCAGCAATGGTGGATTTCATTTGGGTTCTTTAATGGATTTTATCCCTTCTGGGTAGAGAGAGGAAACGTCATTCACGCACTGTTGAACTGCAAGGAGGTTGTGAGGATCATAACTCGCTGCAGTGGGCTTCAGCCAGAAGTCCTGGGGAAACCAGCAGGGAGCTGCTGCAGGAGCAGCCAAGGTGCCTCCAGCCACCCCGGATGCCTGCTTCTGCCTGGTTCAGGTCATTGGGCCACCAGGGACTTCTAAAAAGGATCCAGGTTTTAGAGGATAACATCTCATCCTTGAAGCCCTTTGGCCAAAGGCTCTGCACCACGCTCTGGGATTACAGCTTCACTGAGGTATTCATCAAGGAGGTCTGAGTCTTGAGTGGAAACTACCAGCGCTTGGGATGGATGCCTCGATACTGGGTGGGACTTTGCTCTGCAGAGCCCAGAGGCCCCCCTAGGGCAAGGGCTTCACGCTGGGTGATATCCTCTGGGTGACATCCGCAGTGGGGGTCGGAGGTCCTTTTTCCAGGTTCCTAGAGACCCAGGACTTCCATCCTAAGCCCCCAGCCACCTCCTGCCTCCGGATAAATCAGCTTCAATCTTCTCAGCATCAAAGGAGGTAAGAGCTTTTTTCCTCCTCGAAGTGTGCATAATCAGTCTCCTTTCCTTAGTGTTTGCTTCCTGTGGCTTCAGGGCAGCCCCAAGGGATGGTGCCAGGCTGGCAGCACCCTCAGTGCTTAACAATGGTGGGGGTGATCATCTTGTGGAAGGAGTAGTACCTGCAGTCCTTAGGGGAGACCAGGTCCATCACCGTTGTGCTGATGTTCTCCTTCTTGAACCCAGCCTCCAACAGGTGCCCTACCTGGGTCTCCTGTGAGAAAAGAGGGTGGGAAGGAACAGGCAATGGCTTGAGCTGCCCAAATGCAAGTGGAAATGCTACTGAGCCCCAGCCTGTGCGGACACAGGACAGTACAAGCAGTCGGTGCAGGGAGCCCCATCTTGGGCTGCTCTGGCCAAAAACCTCCTGACCTTCCCTCAATGTTCCCTGCTAAACCCTGGCTGGAGGGCTCTTGTGCTGCTCCATGTCCACAGTGTCAGCCATGTGCTGAGGGATGCAGGAGGTGCACAGCCCCATAGGGCAGCTTTGGGACCCTGGGTTGAGCTGGATGTGCCAGGCCGTCCCCAGCCCGAGGAGCAGTGCTCACCTCAAACATCTTCTCAATGTCTGTGTACTTGGTCTTCAGCAGCTCCCCCCAGGAGGTCAGGTTGCAGTAGGTGAGGACCCCTCCAGGCTGCAGCAAGCGGAAGGCATGGTCCTGCAGTGGGGATGGAGGGGTTGCTGGCTCAGCACCCGGCTCCCACCTTTTACCCCCCTCCAAGCTCTCTCTTCTCCCTGCAGAGGCAGACATTGCCCCAGCCCTCCGCACCCTCCTGCTGCTCCCCTACAAAAGCACTGCCAATGCCACCATCGTGCTGGGGACTTTGAGGTTTTCCCAGAGGGCAGGGAGGGGGCTGCAGACCAAAACCCGGCTCTGGCTTTGACTCTTGAGCTCTAAAATCTCCCCCAAACCCACCCAAGCCGGGACCTCTGGCCCCTTGCACAGGGCAGCTGCACCCCCACCCCGTTACCTTGATGAAGGTGAACTGATGAGTGTGCCAGCTCTCCTCCGACAGTGGGTAGGTGTCATACAGGATCCCTGCCCGGGAACACCGGAGACCATCCATTAGCCAGGAGAGGCCAGCAAGGTGCCGGTGGGGCTCATGGAGAAGATTCCCCCTTCCTGGCACCCCTAATCTCTGCCCCCCCCCCCCCCCGACAGGGACAAGGGACACCCATGCAGCCCATGGAGGGAGCGAGCCAGGCCGGGTGCTCACTCTGCCTCCCCCTGTTCATGGTGCAGCAACGTGCAGGGACCCTTCTGTCTTGGGGCCCTGTCTCACTGCTCCCAGGTTCTGCTGTGGGGTCCAAGGAGGAGATCCTGCCCCTCTGCTCTGCTTTCATGAGACCCCACTTGCAGCACTGTGTGCAGTGCTGGTGTCCTCAGCATACGGACATGGGAGCTACTGGAGCAAGTCCAGAGGAGGCCATGAGGATGCTCAGGGGTTGGAGCAGCTCCTGTATGGAGCCAGGCTGAGAACATTGGGGCTGTTCAGGCTGGAGAAGAGAAGCTGCGTGGAGACCTCAGGGCAGCTTCCAGTGTCTCAAGGGGGCTACAAGGATGCTGGAGAGGGACTCTGCATCAGGGACTGCAGTGATAGGACAAGGGGTGATGGGTTCAGACTGAAACAAGGGAAGCTCAGGTTGGATGTAAGGAAGAAGTTCTTTACTGTAAGGGTGCTGAGGCGCTGGCACAGGGTGCCCAGAGAAGTGGTGAATGCTCCATCCCTGGCAGTGTTCAAGGCCAGGTTGGACAGAGCCTCGTTTGACATGGTTTAGTGTGAGGTGTCCCTGCTCACGGCAGCGGTTGGACCTGGATGATCTTAAGGTCCTTTCCAACCCAAACCAGTCTGTGATTCTATGCCCTCCCTCCAGTCCCACAGGGTATCTCACCACTGAAGTGCCCATCCGGCAGTGTCGGTGCCACTTCCTCCCACAGCCCCTTCATGGGCACGACCTGCAGGTGGGAGGGCAGCGCAGTGAGCCCCGGCAGCCAGCACCCACTGGCACCCTGCACTGGCAGAGCCCCCCCCAGACCTTATGGGGCTGCATCCGGGCCCATTCCTCCAGCCGCCGGAAAACCCCTGCGTTGCACTCGATGATCCAGTGCTCCTCGATGTTGAACTCCTGCACCTTGGTGGCAGCGATGGCCATGCCGAAGCCCACTTCCAAAACACGGCCACCTAGGGACAAGAAGCTTGGACTTTGTGATCTTGAAGGTCTTTGTCAACCTAGTTGGTTCTGTGATCCTATGGTTCTAAGAGGGCTGTGCCTGCACAGGCCCAGTGAACACAGTGCTGCCCACACTGGGGTGAGAAGCCAGGAGCAGCCCCATGCCCACATCACCTGCTGCCTCCCCAGCTACACCCCGCAGCAGCCCTTTGCCCCCACTGAACCCCCCCGAGTGGCTGCAGTGGGGACAAGCAACCCCTCGTCAAAGCCTTCCCCCTACCAGCAGCAGCACAGCCCAAAAAGCAGCAGGACAGAGCAGGGCTGTGCTGTGCCTGCACCCCCAGACCCGTCCCCATTGGGGAATGTGTCACCCTGACACGAGAGCACAAGTGCCACCGTGGCCCTGCTCCTGCTGTCACTGCATAGGGACCACTGGCAGCAAGCAGGGTGCACGCAGTGGGGACCCTGGCAGCAACACCCCCCCCCCCCCCATTGCTCACTATAGCTGCCCTATTCCCCACGCCCGAGCTGCACTCCATGGCACGACCCTGAGCCCCCCCATTACCCCTCGACGCAGCCACGGCCGCCAGCGAGTGCATGTAGGGGGTCTCCCAGCGCTCCATCACCGGCTTCCCCAGG